CTTTGCTACTAGGTGTTTGTCACGTTGTACGCTTGAAACTTAAATAAACTCTTACGTATTTGTCAGGCAAATAATTCCCAAACAGGTCTCCACAACATAGGCTACTGCCAGGCTTTGCTGTTACCCAGGCATAGACGAGTCTGTGAGCTTTCCTACCTAGAAAGCTAATTGTGACCACGGTCGGCTGTCCTGAGAATAGAATGTAGCAGTATATATCACTTTTGTGCGGCTGTAGTTTGCAATTTTTTCATCTCAACTGCAACATTTTTCTCATGAAATTGATCGTCGAAATGTTTATCTTCTAGCCGCTGGCAAAAGCACTTTGTAATCGAAACCAGATTTTCGTTGTAGTCATGATCGATACCCAATTACACAAAAAGAAGATAAATCCATTGAATCAGTTAAGATCATGATGACATAAGAGTTAATTATTTTGTTTATGTAAATTTCAGTTGAATTGGAAGAACGCACGCCTCTCTTTATAATAAGTATGTAGACAAGTTCACCCAACTATATACTGCCTTAGTCAGATGACGTGATCCGGGCTTGTCTATGCATTGGCTGTATCATCGTTCAGTTAAAGGTTGACCTGGTAGTTGATACTAAAGTATGAAACCTTAGAGATTAACCAAGTTTAACGCAGATATTCGATAATTTTATACAAACGCAATTCGATTAAGCAGAAATTCGGTTAAAACATAGTTGATAGTTAGTAATATGAAGAAAGAAGTCTCGGCCGAAAATTGATTTTTACTTGTAAATTTTCAGGCACTTAAAACTTGCCGAACGTCAGACTTAATGAAAAGTGACGACTGTGATTGTCGCACTAGAGGGTTTGAGGACAGATGTTAATTCGAAGAATAGTGAAGGTGCTAGGGGTGGCGCGCTAAGGTGACGCTAATCCTGCTGTGATAGGCGCTGCAAGTGAAAGGAGGTGTGAAAGTATAGAATTGTTGGCCACGTGTCCGGGAGATGCAGAATAGCAGAGGTTCTACCTGGCCGAGCACGGATAGACTCCTGTTGTTTAACGCTGGGCGCAAGTTAATGGACCATGTGCACAAATTGGCATAATGTGAATCGTTTATGCTGTTTGTGCCGCAGTGTCATCTGGTCTGACGACGGGTTAATGTTCCCGGCTTAAAAATCACCAGTAGAATTCAATTTTTTGACGAGCCTTCTTTTTTGATTTTTCACCTCAGAATGCATACTGCCCCATCTGCTCAATTGATAACTTATTTGGAAAACTTGCGAGTTCAGAATGAATAATTTTCGTTAAGCCAACGAAGACCTCTGTTAACCACTCGGAGAGGATTTGCGAGGCAACAGTCATTAGTTGCCAAATGTTTAAATTCCTTTTGGCATTTGGTTGTGCGAGGAAGATAATGTGGTGGTTTAGATAGTCCCGCTTATTAAATGATCGAGCATTCGCAGTACTGTGCTATGTGTTTGCTTTTACTGAAACGGCGGTTTACGATCCATAAGTTTTACCGCATGAAGCACGGTCGTAAGTAATACTATCAGCATCACTGGCGTCATCTCAAAAGTTACAATTTATAAACTAGATTTCAGTCTTCCAATGAAATGGAAATTGTTTATTTGTGGCGCTGTTTGAGCACGTTTACAGGTCTGGAGGCGTCACCAGTTCGGTGTTTGCAGGCCTTCGTGATAGGACGTCGTTCGCTTTAGCAAACGCATTTCCCATGCTTTGCTTCCATATACATATTGCTCTTTTTAAGTTTTTGTTATCAATTATCATCTTTATCAATTTGGGCATGAAGCCGCATGCAAATTCTCACTCCCTTAACGGTTAAATACTAAGTTTGTTCATTCGCCCGCTTATCTTATAAGGGATAGTAATTTCACTTTGAATGATCTAATCAAGTCAGATTTGGCGCTATCGAAGCCGTGGGAAGGAGATTGCGGGCGAGCAATTTCGTAGATATGCTACTCTTTCGGGTTTTGGGCATTAACGCGCAGTACTTAGGACAGTACGGCATCACCTCATTTTAATTACTGATAGTGCCCAAACGCGTACAATCGCATTGTGAGAAACCATAAAACAAACTATAAATTTATACTCATTTAAAGTGTTAAGCTTGTGGAAACCTAGCAATGCATACGTACCTATACGAAAGCCATTGGATGCGTGGTACATCCTACATTTGTGGAAAACATGAGCAGTATGGTTGAAAAAGACCGAAGACTGCCCAAGACTTTAATTGCTTGCCAAGCTTAACCTACTAGCCTTCGGCATAAGACAATATAATGCAAATATGCACCACTATACAGCATGTTTTTCACATTATTATTTGCCGTTGAAATTTTTCTGGAAATTCTGTCTTCTGCCACATGGCTTTTGATTGAAATGAAGCCTGAAATTTGAACGAAACTTCCTACTTAATAGAAAGTCCATACACGCTGACAAATAAATTGCATTTGTATCATGCATCCGGCTGAAAACCGTTGGAACCGCTAACTATTCATTAGCATTGTAAGGAAAATCCGCGAAAGTAACAGAGGTCATTGTCAAGTTCTTCGGTGATACCAATCTACGCATTCAGGACGTCAAGTTAGTCAAACGAACGTTTTCGATTACTCATAATCAGGCAAATACAATAACATAAGATAGGGTGCTGTTAACAAATGTTTAAGCAAGTAGCCAGCAGTGATAAGGGTGCGGACGGTGGAGAGATGTGCAGGGGTCGACTGATCGGTTTATCGTCATAGTTAGGGGCCAGAGAGGGGAAGAGATAAACGTGTTCGACAGGCTGTCGTCCCTTTATCGCGTCATGTTAGTAGGCCTCAGGAAGCATGATGTAGCAGTCTCACGAAAGGTTAGGCGGTGTAGGTTTGTATGCTGTAACTGCCCCATCGCCGTTACGCGGTGTGGTCGGAAGTTTGTGGACACATGCTGAGTTGGTCTTCGCCCATGGAGGCTTAGTGCCTGTCCGAACACCTTCTGCACGCATAAAATCGGGTTGTTATCG